TAGTTGGTATAGTTTATATTTTTTTCCAGGATTTTTTGGCTGATTCCCAATTTCTTGTATTCATCCCTCCCTACTGTTGCAATTAGAGAAAAGGAATGCCTGCACTTTATAAACTATTATATGCTTTAGATTTTTTAAAAACCCAATACATCTAACTCTGTATTTATTCAACTTAAGCAACATATCTCTATTATCACATTCACTATCTTTTATAGCCAAACTACTTTTTACTAAATTGTAAACTTTTTTCCTTTGGAGAATCATCATGGACTTTCATAGATTAACATAGTTTCAATTATCTAGAATCATTTTCCTTTCCTGATTAAATCTTTAGATCTTGGCCAGTGAAAGTCCTTTTAAGATGGTTCTGTTATCTCTTCAGCACTTCTCCCACGCATATTTGAAAACATTCTTGTTTCATATACACAAGACGATGTTCCAGATTATCTTCAGCTTTCTCTACCCCAAAACACGGAATGAACTGTTTTATAAAGAATCTTAGTTCCTTTATGTGATTAGTGGAAAAATTGGGGTATCAAGGATGAATATGACATTGTTTTTCATGAGCACAGATTGGGATTAGAATAATATCACTGCTAGGCCATTTTTGGACAAAATTGGAAGACATTTCTTTTTCTTTTCTTTTTTTTTTTTTCTTTTTTGAGAGAGAGCAAGTCAGGGAAAGGGGCACAGGCAAAGAGAGAGAATCCCAAGCAGGCTGCTCCATGCTTAGCACAGAGTCTGACTTGGGCTCGAACCCATGACCCTGGGACCATCACCTAAGCTGAAATCAGGAGTTGGATGCTCAGCCAACAGAGACACCCAGGAGCCCCAGAAGACATTTCTTTTTCAAGTCATGAGTGTACATTGACTTTTTAAAACTCTAACTTAATTCTAACACTATGAAAAACTTTTAAAACATTTATTCCATTATTTAAAAAATTTAGTTTTCTTACCAACATAATCTTAAAAATTTAACCCCTCACCCAAACTGCAATTGTGTCCATGTGTGTATAATCCTTATATGTCATATCAGTTATCAATTGTATAATCACTTCATTATCCTTGATATCTTAGCCCTTCTACTTTGTCTCTTATCTCTTTCTCCCCTTTTTATCTTTTAATTTTTCCTACCGTTCTTATTGTCACTCTGATTTTATCTCCCCTCCCTTAAATATTGAAAGTGTGGAATTGGAGCATAATTCCTGCCCCATAGTGTTTTGTAACTCTCAAGAGTTATTGTCGTTCTCATGATTTAAACTCCTTGTAAAACTTGGGACATCCAGGCCCATCCCTACTTGCAACTACTCTCGATCAAGTAATTAAAAATGTAATACCAGTTTTGTGTGTGTGACTTCACTCTGTGGAATATTGGCACATTTTTATTGACTATTGATATATTTTTAGTTAAGCAGTGTTCTTATAAGTATTCCAGAATTATGTTCTACATCATAACAAATGGAGAAGGGCAGAGGACCACAGAAAAAAGCAGTTGGGACAAACGTTTTATAATTTATCAAGGTTTGAGTAAAATTATACCCCCTTTCCTTTTTTATTTTATTATTTTTATTTTTTTATTTATTTTTATTTTTATTTTTTTTAACATTTATTTATTTTTGAGACAGAGAGAGACAGAGCATGAGCGGGGGGAGAGCCAGAGAGAGAGGGAGACACAGAATCTGAAGCAGGCTCCAGGCTCTGAGCTGTCAGCACAGAGCCTGATGCGGGGCTCAAACTCACAGACCGTGAGATCGTGACCTGAGCGAAGTCGGACGCTCAACCGACTGCGCCACCCAGGCACCCCTCCTTTTTTATTTTTTTAAATTATTTTTTGATGTTTATTATTTTGAGTGAGCAGGGGAGAGAGAGAGAGAGAGCGAGGGAGGGGCAGAGAGAGAGGGAGACACAGAATCTGAAGCAGGCTCCAGGCTCTGAGCTGTCAGCACAGAGCCCAACACGGGGCTCAAACCCAGGGACCCTGAGATCATGACCTGAGCCGAAGTCGGACACTTACCTGACTGAGCCACCAGGCGCCCCTCCCTTTCCTTTTTTAAAGAAAACCTTCATTCCCAGAACTCATAGGAGACACAGGAATAACAATATAGTGCCCTACAGACCAGGAATAAAGTTTGGAAACTCGAAATTTATTCAAGATCCCACGCAACTCTAGTTACTAGGTAATTTTGTCACTCTTTAGCAGATGTTTGTTGATCCTTACTCTAAATGCTCTGGTATTCCCATGAGTCAACTACTCTTTCTGTTTGTGCTTTTTGTGTATTTCCACATCCACTATCACTACCAATTAACTCACTGTTTATCTAAAGTTCAAATTCCAGAGAGAGAGAAAAACTGATTGGTCCAGTTTGGATTGGTCCAGATTGGATGATTGGATGATTCATTACCATCATCCTGGTTCAAATGAACTTTCTTAGACCTCCTCTTGGTGGCTGTCGGCTAGGATGGTGAGCCAGGAAGATGAGGCACCTATGAATAAGGAACCATTTAGGCCACTTCAGGGACTGTACACATGACAAGCATTGAGGTTTGGCCAGCCTAGTACATTTCATAACCTACCTTCTAGGTCCCAAACATCTCTCTTCTTGTACCTACAATTCCCAGGAATCCAAGGGAAGTGAGAGAACCTATAGAAACTCTGGGGATCTCTGACTTTTCTTGGAAAGCTGGATTTCTGGTGACACTGTCTCATTATCCCTGGTGAAACAATAGCTGCAATTGAGTGGAGGCTGTCCTTTCAGTTAAGGCCTGTGCTTAGCCAACTCATTTCACTCCTTTACTCACCTGACTCTTTAGGCAACTAAGCTTGAAACTCCTCTAAAAAGAGATGGGAGGCAGTGAGATACATGGCAATAACTTAGCTGTGAGCCACCTGAGGACTCTGGCTAACATAGTCCAAGGAAATGGAATGGTGGACATGGAGATAAAGGCCTGAGCCCTGGTGATTGACAATATGAGTTGAATCCAGAGATCAGGCAGGTGGGATGGATGAGGGTGAGGAGGGGTAGGGAGAAGGGAGAGGAAAACAGATGGCTCCCAAACTCTCAAATCTGATTGATTTGGAAAGAAAAGATAGCCTTAGCAAGAACATGAAAACCCAGAGAGGACAGTTTGGGGAGAAAATGTAATTGCTGTGATTTAATAAAGTTTTTGTTTGTTTGTTTGTTTTTAGTAAGATTTTTGTTTTTGATGTTCTTCATTTTAAAGCCAAGAGAATTAAAATTTTTGTTTTGTCTCTCAAAAATAAACAACCACCCCCCGCCAGCAAATTAAGTTTTTATTTGCCTATGAAGCCCCGATAGAAAGTGTTCTTACTCTTATTCAGTGCAAAAACATGAAAATCCATTTGTTTAATAAGTCTGGTTATTTCTGACAATTTCGTTTGACATTTCCAGAAGATAGGAGTTAAACTATTTCCAGGAAATTTAAGATAAATTAAGGGAAGTAGATTAAAACATATCCTATTAAATCATCTTTATTTTTCAGGTCCCAGAGTAATCGGTTCAATCCTGTCCATCTAAGTAGCTAAAATTCCATGGGGAAAACAGCCTATTTCATTTTTACAAAATACCGCAATGTCCCAATTTTTACTTGAACTTAGGGTGATATGACACAGTAGAATTTCAGACGCTATGGCTCTTTCAACCATGTGATGTAAAAGGTTGCAAAATGAATACTTGTTTTAGAGAAATGCTTGTGATTTTTAAACTTGAGCGAGACTGGGTAGAGTTTGTTTCTTGTTTGTAACCTCAGAGCATAAAAAGCAAAAATGAGATTTGGCCAATGAAGTTCTGCTAATTCTTTCTAAGAAAGAACATTCCCATGTCCTTATAACATCCAGAAAGATTTAAGATTTGTACAAAAACAGTCAAATCCTCATTGTCTGATTTATCTTTACTGTGTCTTTATTTTATCCTTGGAAATTTAAGATTTGTACGAGAAGATAAAACTGACATTCCCCGAGTCATATCATTTTTTAAAAGCCCTGAATGTACAGAGAAAGACCAAAACACTGTTTGGATTGCAGAGCTGAAGAGCAAGCACAACCAACTTCACAGAGAAGCTCAGAATGAAGCTGTGATGTTGATGTTTTGCCAAGTTTTCTCCAAGATATTGATTATGACTCACAGCCAGATATGACTCATTGCTATAAATGCTAGATCTAAAATGATGTCACCAGCTTTTTGGGTTTCAGAGGAGAGAAGAGGGTAATTTTTTGGCCTACCTAGTAAGTTAGCACATTACAGTTATTCTGCATGTGTGTGAGTGTGTGTGTGTGTGTGTGTGTAAATAATTAGGTTAAATGCATATATATGTAATTAGGTTAAATACTAACACCGGAGGTTCTTTAAGATACAGCTGACCAGATCATCCCATAGCAATGCCCACTAGCCAATAATGTATGCTGTGCACACAGAGCTTACAGTCAACTTCTTATTGCTATACCTTAAAATGTAAGCAGTCAGGCAAGGATCACCAGATTTTTGAGGACCCAAGCAAAGAAACAAGCAGGAAGGCAAGGAGAACAAACAGGAATAAAAAGCCCCTCTAATTAATAGCCTCAGAGTGTTAGGAGTATAGTACATCATAAAGCAAAAACAATATGGTATAGGTGCACCTGGGTGGCTCAGTCGGTTAAGTATCTGGGTTTTGGTTTCGACTCAGGTCATGATCTCACAGTTTGTGAGTCCGAACCGCATGTCGGGCTCTGGACTAACAGTGTGGATTGAGATTCTCTCTCCCTCTCTCTGCTCCTCCCCTGCTCTCTCTTTCTCTCTCAAAATAAATAAACTTAAAAAAAAAAAAAAGATGGTATAAATATCATGGCAGAAATAAAAACCCCAGGTGAAAAAAAATAAAATGTAAATTTAAGGCAATCTCCCAGAAAGTAAAATTTAAAGATGAAAAGTTTGAAAAATAGGACAGAAAAGAGAATTAGAGGATCCATCCAGGAGACACAATATTCCAAGCAAGAATTTCAGAAAGAGAACACAGGGTAAATGGAGAGGAAGAAGTTTCAAAAGAAATAAACCACACTGATTTCCCAGAACTGAAGAACATGAGTCTGATGATTGAAATGGCCCACTGAGTGCTCAACATAATGGATGAAAATTGGCCTACACCAAGTAAGGTAATAAGGTAATAATAATAATTTGTTAAAGAACATGATTATTAAAATCTTTTTATGGGAGAAATAGGGCATGTACAAAGCCTCAGAATTGGAACAGTATCTAAAAAATACCAGCTTAAAGTTAGAAGGCAATGGAACAATGACTTCAAAAATCAAGGAAAAATAGGGACACATGGGTGGCTCAGTCAGTTAAGCATCCGACTTTGGCTCAGGTCATGATCTCACATTTCTTAGGTTCAAGCCCCACATTGGGCTCTCAGCTGACAGCTCAGAGCCTGGAGTCTGCTTCAGATTCTGTGTCTCTCTCCCTCTCTCTGTCTCTCCCCCACTCATGCTCTGTCTCTGTCTCTCTCTCAAAAATAAATTAACATTAAAAAAAATCAAGGATAGGGGCGCCTGGGTGGCGCAGTTGGTTAAGCGTCCGACTTCAGCCAGGTCACGATCTCGCGGTCCGGGAGTTCGAGCCCCGCGTCAGGCTCTGGGCTGATGGCCCGGAGCCTGGAGCCTGTTTCCGATTCTGTGTCTCCCTCTCTCTCTGCCACTCCCCCGTTCATGCTCTGTCTCTCTCTGTCCCAAAAATAAATAAACGTTGAAAAAAAAATTTAAAAAAAAATCAAGGATAAATGAATTCCAACCTAGACATCTGTCTCCTATTACGGCCTGAATGTGTGTGTCCCTCCAAAATGCATGTATTGAATCCCTGCCTCCTAATGAGATGGTATCAGGAGATGAGACCTTTGGGAGGCCCTCCTAAATGGGATAGCGCCCTTCAAATAGTCATAAGAGAGCTTGATTCCTCTCTCAGTTCTTTACCATGTGAAGATACAATGAGAAATCTGTAGTCTGCAACTCAGAAGAACGTTCTCTTCAGAACCCAACCAGGCTGGCACCCTGATTGGACTTCCACTCTCCAGGAAGAAATAAACCTTAGCAAATAACTGTGAGAAATAAATGTCTGTTGCTTATAAGCCACCCAGTCTATGGTACTTCGTTATAGCAGCCTGAACTGGCTAACTATCAATCAAGTATAAGGGTAGAATAAAGATCTTTCAAATACAGAGCAGCTCAAGAAATTTACTCCCTGTGCACTTTTTCTCAGGAAGCTACTAGAAGACATACTTCATTAAAGAGAAGAAACCCAGGAAGAATAAGACATGGGATCTAGGAAACTCCTCCCACACAAGAGAAGAGCAAAGGGAATTTCAAGAAGGAGGGCAGAGGTAAGCTCAGGGTGGTATGGGAAGCAGCCAGCCCAGACTGACGCAGGAGGACAGAAGATTCTGGGGGAGGATTTCTAAGAAAAAGACAAAAACTGATAGAATCCTCAATATGTTTGAAGGAATTGAAAAGAGATGTGCTTCTGGCAGAGAGAACTTGGGGATGAACAAATGCTAGGTAAATGGAAAATGAAGCAAAGAAAATGAAGTCAAGGAAAGAACAAGACAATGATTAATTCCAAAGAAGAACAAAAGTACAAGAAAGAATATATTCGTAGTAGAACCAATCATATGCAAACCACCAAATATCAATAGACTCCAAACTCAAGCTATAACTACATTAGGAGGATGGGGAAAGGGAATGTACATATATAATATTTGCATAAATATGTATATAGGTAGGATCTGGATAATAATAGAGCTAAAATCTCATCTTCGTAGTAAAAAGTCCTCAGTTTATATCTTAAGCCAAAAACTAAATATACCGCTATTAGCATTTTGTTTTAAAGTATGAAGGTCAATACTAAATACTAGGTAAGAGGGCTGAAAGAGGTTTCCTGGGGGATGGAGAGAGTGGACAGGAAGCAAGGGTGGTCAGAGGGAGTCCAGGAGCCCTCTGGTTTTGTTTTGGGCCTTGTAGTACTTATTTTACTTTAAAAATAATGCATAGATTTTTAAAAAGCAGAGCTGACAGGATTTTAAAGTTAAAGTGGAGGCATAAAGGCATGAATGTGCAAGGTAAGCAGGGGTAGGAAACAGAAATTAATTCAGACAAGTTGTAAAATTAGACAGAGGTCATACTGAGAGGGCCACTCAGGGCCCTGTTGAGCAACTTACGATTTCTTGTCTGTGTTGTGGGGACCCTGGAAGGTATGTATGTGAGTAGGGCCAACATCTGTAGGTGAGTATACTTTGGAGAGCATAGAAAGAGAGGGGCAAGACACTCAAAGCTGAAAGGCAAGGAGACAAGTCAGAAAATATTTTACTGGTTCAGATAAGGAGGGTCTGAGGCAACTAAGGCATAGTCAGTGGGAGTAGAAGGAATCAGATATATGAGAAATATTCCAGATGGAACGGTAGGATTTGGTTTATTGGTAGACATGATGTGGAGTGAGGAGGAAGAGAGAGTTAAGAATGCCTTGGACTTTTCCAACCATACCATCTGGGGCATTCTGATGCCAAAATTTAGTTTGTCCAGTTTCAGTGGCCCTCCTCCTTCCCAGAGTTTGCTCCAAATGCTATTTGGTCTTCAGGAAAATAAAGGCACTGAGTTTGTTGAGAAGAAAACAAAACTCTCTACCAGTTGGATCTGCCTCCACTATTTCAGGGTAATTCTAGGTCCCAAGGATGTGAAAGTGCTTGTTACACTGTACAAATATATGGTGATTCGACCATGGCCATTATAGTTTTCAAAGATCATGACTAAATTTCGGAGGGCAACACCAAATAAAAAATTTCAAAACATGTTTTGAGCAATGTCAGCAATATCGAACACTGATACATATTGCCAACATGCATCAGCAGACTTTAAAATGGGCATATGTTTCACTGTGGCATTATTATGTTATATTATATTATATTATATTATATTATATTATATTATATTATATTATATATTACATTATATACTGGTGGAATGTGTTGAATGGTGTCCCATGCCCCAAGATATGTCCGTACCCTAATTCCTACAACCTGTAAGTGTTACCTTATTTGGGAAAAGAATTTTTACAGATGTTACTAGGTTACAGAACTGGAGATGAGGACATCATCCTGAATTATGTGGGTGGGTGTTAAATCCAATGATAAGTGTCCTTGTAAGAGACATACAGAAGACAGACACACAGAAGAGGAGGAGGCAATGTGACCACAGAGACAGAGATTATGATATGGCCACAAGCCAAGGAACACCTGCAAACACCAGAAGCTGGAAGAGACAAGGAACTGATTCTCCCTGAGAGCTTTCAGAGGGAGCACGACCCTTCTCTTTGAACTTCTGGTCCCCAGAACTGTGAGAGAATAAATTTCTGTTGTTTTAAGCCACTAAATTTATAGTAATTTGTTATAGCAGCAGTGGGAACCTAATACAATTGGTAATATTACATTACCTAAATGTCCTAAAATACCTAAAAACTCTCCTGTATGAGGAATAGAAGTTTGGTTTTAAGGCAAAGGAACCACACAAAATAACTCAGGCAAAATGGTATTTTTTAAAATGAGAGTTATTGTAAGAATGCCAAGCTCAAGGAATCCATGGGAAACAAACCAAGCATGAGGAGAGCTCTGGGACATACTAGTAATTCATACTGGTAACTGTTACAGTGAGGCTTCTTCCCATCTCGTGACCAAGTCAAACATAGGAATTCCTCTTCTAAATTCCCAAGAAAAGCCTCTGAATGACCCAGCTTGTGTTGGTATCCACTTTGGGCCCAATCAATTGTGAGGGGAGCTTCAAGCAATTTGTAATTTGCTTGTTTGTGCTTTCAACTAAATAGCCCCTTGCTATGGATTTTTATTTCAAGAAATTAATGTACATTTCCTTGAAAATTTGCATTATTTTTTTAATGTTTATTTTTGAGTGGGGGGGGAGGGGCAGAGAGAGAGGGAGACACAGAATCCAAAAGCAGGCTCCAGGCTCTGAGCTGTCAGCACAGAGCCTGACACAGGGCTCAAACTCACAAAACATGAGAGCATCACCTGAGCCGAAGTCAGATGCTTAACTGACTGGGCCATCCAGGTGCCTGAAAGTTTGAATTATTTTTAATTTTTATTTCTTTATTCCCTCCCCCACTCGTGTTATTTTTTAAATTGTGGCAAAATTGGGGCGCCTGGGTGGCTCAGTCGGTTGAGTGTCCACCTTCGATTCAGGTCATGATCTCACAGTCCATGAGTTTGAGCCCCACGTCAGGCTCTGTGCTGACAGCTCGGAGCCTGGAGCCCGCTTTGGATTCTGTGTCTCCCTCTCTCTCTGCCTCTCCCCTGCTCGAGCTGTCTCTCTGTCCCAAAAATAAATAAAAACAAAAAAAAATTTTTTTTAAATAAAATAAAATAAAATAAAATAAAATAAATTGTGGCAAAATAGACATAACACAAAATTTGCCATTTAATTTTTTTCTCATAATTATTTATTTTGAAAGAGAGAGAGAATCCCAAGCAGGCCCTGCATTTTGCAGGGCTCAGTACCATGAACCGTAAGCTCATGACCTCAGCCAAAATCAAGAATCAGATGCTAACCAACTGAGCCACCCAGGCGCTCCAACATTTTAACCATTTTAAAGCATACAATTCAGAAACAGTATATTTATTCACGGTCTTGTGCAACCATTATCACTACCTAGTTCCAGAACATTTTGACCAGTTTGGGAGAAAACCCTTACCCGTTTAGTAGTCTCTCTCTATTTCCTGCTTCCATCGCTCCTGGTAACCACTGAACTGCTTTCTGTCTCTATAGACTTGGCTTTTCTAGACATTTCATTAAATGTAATCATATAGTATGTGGCCTATTGTGGCTGGCTTCTTTTACTAAGCGTGTTTTCAAGGTTTATCCATATCATAACATGTATCAGTATTTCATTCCTTTTATGGCCAAATACTATTCCATTGTATGGATATACCACATCTTGTTGGTCTATCCATTTATTGATGGACATTTGGATTACTACTTCCCACATTTTGGCTATTGTGAATAGTGATGCTATGAACATTGGTGTATAAGTTTTTGTTCTTTTGAGTATATACCTAGGAGTGGAATTGCTGAGTCATATGGTAAGCAGATGTTTATTGGAGAATCACCAAACTTTTCCAGAGTGAATGCACCATTCTACATTCCTACCAGCAATGTATGAGGCTTCCAATTTCTCTTCATCATCACCAACACTTTGTTTTCTGGTTGTTGTTTGTTTGCTTGTTTGTTTTTGTGATTATGGCCATCCTAGTGGGTATGAAGTGGTATCATATGGTTT